TGGTGGTGGTGGTGGTGGTGATGGTGGTGGTGGTGGTGGTGATGGTGATGGGGGTGGTGGTGGTGGTGATGGTGATGGTGATGGGGGTGGTGGTGATGGTGGTGGTGATGGTGGTGGTGGTGGTGGTGGTGGTGGTGGTGGTGGTGATAGTGGTAATGGTGGTGATAGTGGTGATGATGGAGGTGGCGATGATTTTACAGAGAAAGAAAATGAGGCATAGAGAGGGGTTAAATGGTCTGAACAGGATCACACAGCTAATAAGTAGCTGAGTGGGATTCCCACCCAGCAGTTGGCTCCTGAGCCTGCACTTCATGACAGGGCACAGTCCTCGTGTATGTTCTCTGGGATTCCTTCCTAAAGGCCCAAAAGGCCACACAGGGCCCTGCACAACTCTCTGGCACAGCCCTGTATATGTCCAAAGAAATCACCAGTGTCCGAGTGCTACCCTGTGCTAACCCTGAACTCCCGGGGCATAAGTGCCCTGTCTTAGCCCCATCTGTCCCCAGGGCCAGGTCAGGGCTGGACACATAGAAGACCCTCAAGACATGTTTGTTGTGTAAAACTAAGACATTGTTGTCATGTGTGGGTGCTGGGAGGGTCTAGATTTGGGGTGTTTAGGAGAAATTGAGCCCAAAACCTGCAGCCGCTTTTTCCTGCTTCCCTGGCCCCAGACTTTACAACCCTATGCCTGTTCATAACCCTGGGAGGAAGAAAGCATGGCATTTTGTTTCTTTGGCACAAAGGGCTTTGGAAGTGAGTGAAGGAAAAGAGAAGTGGGGAATGTGTCCTGTAATGTGCTGTGTCCTCGCATGCAGCAGGCGGTGTGCAGGGCTGGCCTGCAGCCTGGCTCCTCCACAGATGCCGCCCATCTGCCCCCAGCCTAGAAGATGTTCACAGCTTGGAGATCAGCACACCTCTCCTCTGTCTCCCCCACACACCCCACCATCTGACCAAGGGGAGCTGTTGTAAAGGAAGCACCCCCTCAGCCAAATGCAAATGTGTTGTTAGTCTATCACACACACTTTGTACACACACATACACACAAAAACATACAAACCTACATATACATCCAAGTAAACACAAATACCATGTATGCATGCAACTGGGCACATGCACACACATGTACCCACGTGCANCATGTATGCATGCAACTAGGCACATGCACACACATGTACCCACGTGCAGACCCACACACACAGTCTACACAGACATGCCTCTACATCCACACGTGCATGTGCCCAGGCTGTGCCCAGTGGTGCAGCACCCACAGCAGGTACAAATAACCCTCATAATGATAGCTGCCGTACATAGAATGATTACACAAGTCTGGGCATTGAACGAGGCCCTGCATTTACATGCATTGTGTCATTTGATCTTCATAACAACTAAACACAGTAGGTACCATCATCCCCATTTAGCAGATGAGCAAAATGAGACCCAAGCAAATGAGCGCACAGTGAAGCAGCAGCATTTTGCCAGAATACTGTGTGTAAGTCCCTTCCTTCTGGACCTGTGCTGAGGGCACCCTGCTAGCCCAGCGGGCCCCAGATAAGCTGGAGAGCCTGGTGGTGTTTCCCCCTAACTCTGCCAGCCTTCTCTCAATGCCCAGCAGCCAGTGAGTGACCTGCTGTTGACAGTCTGGAACCTGAGGGTGGTGGGAGGTTTGGAGGGGCGGAGCCACAGGAAAAGGAAAGAGAAAGAAGCCCCGCCTGCCAGTTGGCTGGTAGCAGAGGCTCCGGAGAGCTCCCAGTGAGAGCAGCCAGCCCTGGGCGGCATAGAGCCTCAGGGGAAACCTCACAGTTCCCCCCAGGAGTCAGCCCACAACCCACCCACTGTTATTCTGGATCACAAAGTCATGTGAGACCCCCAAAGCCTCATTTCTTGGCTCAAGGAGATCTTTTGCAATCCTGATGGAAAGACATGCAGTCAATTAAAGGGCTGCACAGCCAGAGGGAGGCGGGACAGCCAGATAGGAGAGCCTTCAAATCCCAGCTCTGGCCACTTTCCCGCCATCTGAGCTAGATGCTTCCCATCTCGGGCCCTCAGTGTCCCCACCTGAAAGCAGGACGGTAAGTCCTGTGTCCTGGGTTGATACAGAGGGAAAGATAAGGCATGTACGGGAGCTCCAGACCACTCTTTGCACAACCCAGCACCACGGAGCGTGTCCCCATCACTGCCTCACCTGAGCCGCCAGGGCCCCTGTGGTCCCAGCGTCAGAGGGCCTGTGCTGCAACCTCAGTGTGGGCTGTGGGGTCTAAGGGTGGCCCCAAGACCTGGGTCTCAGGCCCCATCTAACTGCTGCCCCCATGTCCCCCCCACCACCCACAGGAGGACTCTGATGGCAGCATCGAGTGCGTGAACGAGGAGAGGAGACTCCACAAGAAAGTCTGCAATGTCAGCTACCCCTTCTTCCGGGCCAAGGCCAAGGTTGAGGCTGGGGGCAGTTTAGGACGGGAGCAGGGTGGGTACTGGGAGGCTCCGGGAGGCAAGAGAAATGGAAGTGAACAGAGGCGAGGACTGGGGAGGGATGCAGAGGCCTGAGGGTGGGTTTTAAGTATGTTAGTTTTTCCCTCTCTCACACAATGACATTCAAATTATCTAACCAGCCGGCCATCCCCAGGGAAGCAGGCTGCGCCCCAGGAGAGCCCCCCTTCACCTCAGGGGCAGTCCTGCCACTCCCACCCCACCACTCTCGGCAGGTGTCCCATTGTCCTTTAAACTCCTCTAAACTAACAAGTTTTCTAAATGTCCAGCCTCTGTCTCTGTGCTGTGCATGGGGAGAAAAGTGAACATTTCTCAAGCACCTGCCACATGCTTCAAAGTGCATATGACAAGAGTGTAGGTGCGTGGAGTGAAGCGAGAAGCAAATTCAAGGGGAAAGGGAGGTAAACTCCAGATTGTGGGACATCTGCCCATCACCCCTGGGCAGTGGGCAGCCACTGAAGGTTCTGGGACAAGAGAAGACCTGAGGCTAAGCTGCTTGTAAAGCAGGGATCAGACAGAGGGGAGCTTAGGCAGGAGCCAGCCAGAGAGCAGCGGCGTGTTCCCAGGAGCAGGGTCTGCAAGACTGGGGAAGGGGGGAGACGGGGGAGGGGGATTAGGGCTCCCTGTAACAGAACCTCCCCAGTGGAACACAAGTCAACATTATATTTTCAGGGTGCAGCTCTGACAAACCAGGAGCTCTAAAGTGAAGCCCCAGGGTCGGGGGCAGCACACAGCACAAGTTCCCCTCCCCTGCTGCTCCCTGGGAGAAGGGGACCCCAGGTCTCAAGGGGAAACTCCAGGAGGGTCAGACCTGGGAAGAGCACAGTAGTCTGTGCAAAGCCCCAGTACCCACACCCACCCACCCATAGTGGGGAAGGCAGCGAGGAGGGTCAGTTGTCATAAGGCCACACAGTCAGGGATCCAGGCCCACTCCTGGGCAAAGGCCAAGGGAAGGAGCAAGCTGGGCCATCAGAGGGGCAGGAGGGCTGCTGGACATAGAAGCAGGAGCCTTATTAACCTGCTGGGTGGCCCCGGGCAGCCATCACCCTTCTTCGGGCCTTACCTCCCACCAAGGCAAGAACAAGGGGTGGGAGGGCCTGTCTTACCACTCACATCTGGCCCCACATACTATGCTGCATGGTGACAGCCAGCGCCCCTTCCCACCAGCAAGCCTCCCAAGAAAATCCTGCAGAAAGTGTCTGAAGTTGGACTTTTTGCCTTCTAGTCACCTATAGTTAAAAACAATAAAGGAGGAGGGCAGGGGGCTGCCCCCCAGCCAAGAAATCCATCAGAGGAGCTGCTGTCCTCCTGCGTCCCCCTCAGCAGCCCCAGACGGAGCTCCTGTTACTCTGGCACCTGGCCCTCCCTCTCCCCAGACAGCAGGGCTCACCCAAGTGGGCAGGGGGCTGGAAGGGGTGGGCCAGGGCTTGTCCAGGCAATGCCCAGGCATGCAGTTCCCGGCCACCCCAGCTCCAGTGACTTCTTCCTTGCAGGTGGCTTTCCGTCTAGATTTCGAGTTCAGCAAATCTGTCTTCCTGCACCACCTGGAGATCCAGCTCACGGCGGGCAGGTCAGGGCCTGGGCTGCTCCCTCTCCCTCCCAGCACACTCCTCCTGCCCACCCCCTGCTCTGCCGCTCCTGCACTGACTCCCCCGCCAAGCCCTGTCCCTAACCGCCCCAACCTGGGAGGGCCCCGGGTCAGTCCCCAAATGTGAGCCAACCTGCTGCCTGCTGTGCTGCCACCAGTCATTCTTGGACAGCTTGGATATAAATAATACCTTTATTTTTATGTAGTATTTTATATAGCAGCTGTTTTAAAACCCAACAGCTATAAAGCACTGTACATACAATATCTCAGTCAGTCCTCACAGCAGCCCCTAAGATAGGCAAAGCAGGGGTATTCCCCACCCCCTCCAAGTTCTAGGTATGAAAGGGGAGGCTTCAAGAGGCTGAGTGCATTTCCCAGTGGCCCGCAGCAAGTCAATAGTACAACCAGGTCCTGCTCACCTCTCTGCCCTTGGAAATGTTTCCATTTTTAAAAGAGCTTCCCTTACTCTGTGCAGGTCTGTCTGTCTGTCTCCCAGGTTTGCTATAGGTTGACACCGTGAATCACCCTGTGTGGGTAGTAAAGGCTCTTTTCTTTTTCAGGAAATTAGCTCTGTGAGGGAAGGGAGGCAGGGAGGGATCTGACAACTCTGGGGCCTTGTAAACAGCCCAAACCCTCCTGGGAGCTTTTCCTCGCTGAGAAATAAATACTGAAGGCCAACTGAACACCAGCCTTCCAATACATGCACGCACACACTCATGCACTCACACAGGCACACACACACACGCACACTCAGGCACACACACATACACTCTCGCTCATGCATGCATACCCAGTCACACATGAGTCAGAGGTCACGGGAAGGAGCACTGGTAATCAACACACCAGCATGTGCTACACGAATTGTGCATTTGGATGGAATTCCCACTTGACATGAGACAGTTTATAAGATGTATTAATATCTTAATATCAATACATGATCTTCCTGCTCTTAGAAAACATGGCCCTCTTCTCCTGGGAAACAAGTGCACTTGCACAGTAGTGTCTTTGCACAGCTGTGGGTGTTTGTGAATCAGACACATGCAGACGGGACAGTGCAGTGCTTTGTGTGTCCAGTATCCCCTTTGGAATTAAACCCCTGTCCTGAGGTAAGGCTCCCAAAGAGACCAAAACTCATTGTATATAATAAGAGGAAATCATACGTTTTTATGTCTGAAATTATTTTCCCTGAGCTCATGATGCTGGAAAGGGCAGCACATTTGACAAAACTCCCTCCAAACATCTCCTAAGTTCACTCTCCGGCCTTTTCAAGGCAGCAAAACACCCTCAGCCAGCCTGTGGGATCTGCCCCCACCCCCACCTCCCATCACCCCAGGAAGGGTGGTCCAAGGATAAATAAACTGCTCTACTGAGAACTCCTCTCTGTCTTCCCTGAACTTGGGCAGAGCAGGCAGCCTTCGGCCCACGGGCATCATCTCCCTCCAGACCCACAGCACAGGATTTGCCCCTCTGCCCCACGAGGGGGCTCAGCGGGGAGGGCTCGAAACAGTGGCCATGCCGGCCTGCGCTGTCCTCCCAGCTTCCATCCAGTCTCTTCCTGCCCCACAGCAGCCCAGATGTGTCGCACTTAAAAAGGCAGCAGGAGGTAGAAGAGGGTATGGGGGGGATAAATGGTGATGGAAGGAGACTTGACTTGAGGTGGTGAACATATAATACAATATACAGATGACGTATTGTAGAATGGTACACCTGAAAACTGTATCATTTTATTAAGCAGTATAAAAAAGAAAAGAAAAGCTGATGTCACCTGTTCCCCTGCAGCCCCAGCCCTTCCCCTCCTGGCAGCTACTCCAGGTTCCCTCGCTGGCCGTTCCAATGCCCATGAGCCCTGGGGGAGCCAGGCTGCTCCTTCGCTTCTCAGGCTGACTCAGACCCTCCTGTGCAGCGAGCCAGTCCCTGCACTGGCCCTCGCGGGGCGGGTAGAGGGCCAGCGGTCTCCCTCCTGACCCCGCTGCCTGCCTCCCTGCAGCGACAGTGATGAAGAGGAGAGCACCAGGGAAGACAACACAGCCCTCCTGCGCTTCCACCTCAAATATGAGGCCGACATCCTCTTTACCAGGTGGCCGGGGCCCCAGGGTTCCAAGGGGGGGGGGCGTGAGAGGAGTGAGGCCTAAAGTGGGGTGCCCTCTGGGGGGCCCTGATAGGGTCAGAGGTACCAGGAGCTGGGCCCCAGTGCTGAGGGACTGTGAGATGGAGCCAAGTGTGTCCCTGAAGGATCAGAGTACAGCTCCCCCAGCCATGGTGGGGAGATTGTACCAGAACAGAGGAAGGAGGGGACACAGACCCGGCCCCCAAGGAGCTCTCAGCAGGGACAGCGGCAAGGGCCGTGCAGCGGGAGGAACCCACCCCAGGTGCAGGCAGCAAGTAGGGCATGATCTGTGGAGGATTTTAAAATAGTAATAAAACCTACTAAGTCCTTCTGCTTTTCATTACCACCTTGCCCCAGCAATTCTAAACGTCAGTGAGAAAATGTTCCTCCCTAGACAGGCTGTTCACACTGCCCACACCCCCAGGTGTGCCACTGGCCCAGTCTGTCCTCGGAGAGCTCCCAGGCAGAGAGAGATGTCTGGAGAGAACAGCAAACACACAAAGTTCAGGCCCTCTCACGACCACCGCTAGAGGCTGGAATGGTGCACAGCGGGCAAGTTCATGTTCAACAGAGGCCATGCCCCTGGGCTGAGAGGCCAGGGCAGGGATGGCAGATTCTGGCTTGGGCCCATCCCACACACCAGGCAAACGTAGCTGATGGGTGTCAGCAATTCTTTCTGCCCAGCCTCAGAATCCTCCCCAACACAGCGCTCCCGATGGACACAAGGGGAAACCTATTTTTTGTGGCCTGGGGGAGACAGTCCTCTTTCGTTCATTCATCCATCTAGCTAACACTGACTGAGCTCACGGCCGCCCTGTCCTCTGTCCCTGCAGGAGCAGCAGTCTGAGCCACTACGAGGTCAAGCCCAATAGCTCACTGGAGAGTTATGATGGCATTGGGCCTCCCTTCAACTGCATCTTCAAGGTAAGGCTGGAGGGAGCCAGGCAGAGAGTGAAAGGCAGGAGCTGAGGGTCCCCCATTTGGGAGGGGAGGAATCTGAAATCATTGCTAGTGCTCCGGGTCATCTTAACCCTGCCACCCACTCACTGGGTGACTTTAGGCAAGTCACTTCCTCTCTCTGGGCCTCTCAGTCCTCATCTGGAAAATAATAGGGCTGGTTTGAGAGAACATATCAGTGAAAATTAGGTGTGGCTGCATATAATTATATTTTAATTTAAAAACAACAACAACAGTAGTCTAAACACACTAGGGGTTATGCTCTCCCATACAAGCGTTGGCAGCTTCACAAAGTCATCCAGGGTCAGGTCTCCTGTCTTTATGCTCCACCATCCTCAACATGCAATTATTAGCCTCAACTTCACAGTCCAAGAAGGCTGCAGCTCCAGCCATCACGTTCTCATTCCAGGCAGCAGGGAGAAGGGACAGAGAGCAGGAATGAGGTCCTTGGCAGTTCCTCACACTTCAGTTATCTCTCATTGCCCAGAACGTTGTGATTTAGCTTTAAGGGGGCCTAGGAAGTGAGGCTTTTTGTCTTGGTTTCTGTCACTAAGGACTATAGGAGAAGAATTAGGAGGCAGCTTAGCAGTGTCTGCCACAGTGGCCCTGCCATCTCCCCCACCCCTGAACTTCTATGTGAGAGCCAGAGGCAGGCTCACTGAGACCTGGATGGCTCATCCAAGAGAGGTTTAGTAACCTGCCCAAAGCCACACAGCTCATACGTGACAGCAGCCCCAGGTTATATTCCTAGTCTTTCTGATTCCAAAGTCCTCCTTATTACCACTGCGGCTCTAACTCCAAATGTGTCACAGCTAGAATGTGAACTACCACACACTCGCTATTTATATCCTCAATTAATTAATAGTTATCTCTCTTAATAAATGAATTGCTATCACCATCTCCACCCCCAGGGTGGCCACCAGTGCCAGGCAACAAAATCCCCCAGAGCCAAGAGGAGTTGAAAATAGAAGTGACCCTTGCTCTCCAGTTTCAGGCCCCCTCCCTCTGACTTGTCCTCAGCCTGCGGGAGCCCATCCTTCTGGGATCCCTGCAGCCCCCGGGGTGACTTGGCAGAGTCTTCAAGCTTCCACAGTGTTTCCCAGGCCTGGCTGGGGGATGGTTGGCCCCACTGAACCTTGTTCTCAACCTCCCCTCCCCCAACTGCTGCTGGTGCACTGACACCCCTCCCTCTCGGCCACAGGTTCAAAACTTGGGCTTGTTCCCTGTCCACGGGGTGATGATGAAGATCACCGTACCCATCGCCACCAGGGGCGGCAACCGCCTGCTGATGCTGAGGGACTTCCTCGCCGACCAGGTACCGCTGCCCTCAAGAGCTGGCTGAGGGGAGGGGACTGGAAGCAGACAGACATACCCGTATGTGTGTCCTAAGTGCTCAGACCCCGGCTCCTTCTCCCAAAACCAGGCCGGCTGGGCCTTCTCTGGAAGAGGAGGAGGGAGGGGCATCCTGGATGCTGAGTTTGCCAGCACTGATTGTGAAGGTGGTTGTGTGTATGCCTCGTGCAGGTGAACACATCCTGTAACATCTGGGGAAACAGCACCGAGTACCGGCATTCCCCGATGGAGGAAGACTTGAGTCGTGCCCCACAGCTGGTGAGTGTCCCCCAAACCGAGAGCCATGGGGATGGGGGAAGAAGAGTGCTGTCTGAGCTCTGGGGGCTAGTTCTCTCCTTGTCCCACAGTTTGTCAATAAGAGTCTGTTGAGCCCCCATATGCCCAGCTTCAAACCAAGAGGAAACAGAATAAGGAAAAGATACTTCTTGCCCTTAGTGAGCTCACCATCTCTCAGGAGACACAGAATGAGTGCCTAAGAAGCCAGCGAACAAACCTGTGATAGGTGTCAAGAGAATGACAACAGGAGCAGACAATGGAAACACTAACTTGAAAAGATACCTACACCCCCACGTTCACTGCTGCATTACTTACAACAGCCAAGATGTGGAAACAACCTAGGTGCCCACTGATGGATAAAGAAATTGTGACATATATATGCAACAGAATATCATTCAGCATAAAAAAGAAAAATTATTGCCATTTGCAACAATGTGGATGGACCTTGAGGATATTATGCTAAGTGGAATGAGTCAGACAGAGAAAGACAAATACTGCGTGATATCACTTATATGTGGAATTTTAAAAAAAAAAAAAAAAAAAAAAATCAAGCTTATAGATACAGAGAACAGATTGATGGTAGCCAGAAGCAAAGGTGGGGTGGAAAAATGGATGAAGGAGGTCAAAAGGTTAAAAAAAAACAAAAAACAGGGCTAGTAGACTTGCACCTGAGCTTAAAAGAGCCATAGGATACAGATAAGCAGAGGGAAGGGGAGGAAGCCAGATGGAGCATCGCTAGAGGGGCCAGAACATACATGACTTATATTGGAGATATTGACACATCAACTGGGGCCTCCCTGCCCCCAAAAATGAAAGGCGGCTCAGCTTCAACTCCCAAAACCCTCCCTCAGACACCTGTTGGTTTCCAGGTTTATGTCCTCACAGCTGCCTCTGTCCCCAGATACCCTTTGCTGTGAATGCTTTCACTCTTCCTTACCCAAACAAAAATCTTAGCTGTTTTAGTTTGATTTCCCCAAACAAGTTCTTCACACAAAGCATTTTTTAATGTAGTGCATTTTACTGAAGACTTGGGCTTGGGTAGGGCTGAAGTGGGTGCAAAACAGTGACACAGATAACTTTAACCTAATACATTCTAATTATTGTTTGGCATTTCTATTAAGACAATATCATCTGCTGATAATAATAGCTTTAGCTTTACCATTCAATTCTTAAAAATTGTTTTTCTTGTCTTATTGCTCTGGCTAGGACATCCAAGGTAATGGTAAACAGAAATGACAGTCTTGTCTTGTTCTTTATTTTAAAGAAATTGTTTTTAATATTTCATTATTCAATAGGATACTTGCCATAGGTTCATTATAAATACCCTTTATTCAGATTCAAGAAGTTCTCCAGGAGTTTTTATCATAAACTAAGGTTGGATTTCCTAAAATGCTTTTTCTTCATGTTACAGTAATCATCTACTTGTTTCCTTTAACCTATTTGTATGGTGATGACATTTATAGGCTCCCTAACACTGAACCAAAATTTTGTCCTGGAATGCACCCAATTATGCACAACCTCAAATGGAACATCAGATATACCATCCTTACCTCAGCCTCCAGCCACCTGCTGGCAGCCCCAGCCCATGTGTCCCCCACCCCCACCTCTCTCTTTGTTCCCTATCCTTTGTCCCTCCTCCCCCAAGAGCAAAACCCCACTTGGCCTAGCAGTGCAGCTGAGCCATCTCTCTGGTAGCCCAAGCCCCTGCTCACATTTTCAGATCATAGCTAGGTTTCTGCCTCCCCTGCTCCCCCAGAGCGTCGATGCCCAACCCCAAGAAACTACCTTCTCTTTCAGAATCACAGCAACTCCGACGTAGTATCCATCAACTGCAACGTGAGGCTGGGCCCCAACCAGGAAATCAACTTCCATCTGCTGGGGAACCTGTGGTTGCGGTCCCTAAAAGCAGTAAGTAGAACACCTGGGCTGGGCTGGGCTGGGCTGGGCTGGGCTGGGCTGGG